ACCCTGTGATGTAGGCGGGGCTGAGAGAGCTCGGACAGAAACTGCTCTTTTTCAAGAACAGCTGTGCCAGAACTATGGCTTGCCCAAGGTCATCCAGCAGGTGGAAGTGGAGGAGTGGGGAATCAAACCCAGTTCTCCCAGATTAGGGTCCGCACACTTAACCACTGCACCAAACTGGCTCTCTATAGTGGCTAGGTTGGAATCTGGAAGGCCAGGATTCAACCTGCCCCACCCTATTCTACTCATATTAAGCTGTCATAAACTGAATCAGGTCCATTAAGGCCCGGATTCCCTACTCAGACTGGCAGTGGCTCTCCAGGGTCTCAGGCAGAGCCTCACGCAGAGGTCTTTCACATCACCTACAACTTGATCTTTTTAACTGGAGGTGCCGGGGATTGAACCTGGGACCTTCTGCACGCCAAGCAGAGGCAGTCCTTCTGCCATGAATCGCACCAGAGGACCCTGGGCCAGTCACCTCCCAGCCTAACCTACTCCGCAAGGTTGTTGTGAGGATAAAATAAGGAAGGTGGAACCATTCATGCTTTTCTGAGCTTCTTAGAAGAACGGTGACATTAAAAGGTACAAGAAGGGTAGAGCACAGCTGTCTTTACTCTCCTCTTTGGAACACCACAGTGGATATCAAAATCTGTCGGTTAAGTAAATCGAGAGTAAACATGGCCATGCCTCAGCAACCCCTGGTCTAATTCAGAAGTACACTTACTTAAGACCACTGGGGTAGTTTCACAGCATTCTGATACAGTGGTTATAATTCCATACAAGTAAGGGAAAACAATGTACTTTCCAATTTGCGCAATGATCAAAGAAATTATTATGCAATTATTTATACATTTATACATTGAATGGAGCTGCGGTGGCTCAAGTGGTTAAGATGCTGAACTGCAGGCTGTGGAAGGTCAGTAGTTCAGCAGTTCGAGACCCGCATGATGGAGTGAGCTCCCATCTCTAGTTCCAGCTCCTGCCAACCTAGCAGTTCGAAAGCAAGAAATTGCAAGTAGATAAATAGGTACCACTCCGGTGGGAAGGTAACAGCGTTCCGTGTGCCTTGGTGTTCAGTCATGCCGGCCACATGACCACGGAGAAGTATTCGGACAGCGCTGGCTCTTCGGCTTTGAAACGGAGATGAGCACCGCAACCCTAGAGTCGGATTCGACTGGCTTTCGAGCAAGGGAACCTTTACCTTTACCTTACATTGAATTCATTGTGGGGTTTATTGGAACGCTAGCGCCAGCCTTCTAGTGACCAACACACTGGAAGAAGAAGAGAAGAGAGAAGAAGAAGAGATTGGATTTATATCCCGCCCTTCACTACCCAAAGGTGTCTCAGAGCGGCTTACAAACTCCTTTCCCTTCCTCTCCCCACAACAGACACCCTGGGAGGTAGGCGGGGCTGAGAGAGCTCTTGACAGAAACTGCTCTTTTTCAAGAACAGCTCTTATCAGAACTACGGCTCGCCCAAGGTCATCCAGCAGCTGCGAGTGGAGGAGTGGGGAATCAAACCCGGTTCTCCCAGATTAGAGTCCGCGCACTTCACCACGACACCAAACTGGCTCTCGAACTGGAGTAGCCAGCATGAACTTTGTGGGTCCAGAGGCCCAATGGCCCCAGCCATTTAATGCTCATAACCGGAAAGCCAAAACCAACAATCACTGCACAGGTCATTTCAGATGAAAATCTGAAGGGAGCCACATGGAGTTTGAGTTCACTGCAGATGTTAAAATAACCAAGTTCTCTCTGACTTGTTTCACTCTTTGGTGGATCTTGAGGTCTTCCTTGTTGGAAAGGCAAGGGGGTGTGTGTGCCCCCCGCCCAGTGTGGGGGAGAAGGCCAGGAACTCAGGGGAAGGGGTTGTCGGGGGGCAGGTGGAAGCTGGCATCCAGGAAGATGGTGAGGGTGCCGACGGTGGTGAAGATGATGAAGGTCCAGAAGAAAAGGCGGTCCACCACAATGGCCACATATTCCCAGTCCTCCTTCAGCTGGGAGGGAAGGGAAGCAAAGGGAAGATGATGAGGCAATCACCAAAGAGACAGGCAGCGAGGAAGACCAGATGGGGACATAAGAACATCAGAGAAGCCCATGTTGATACAGGCCAATGGCCCATCCAGTCCAACACTCTTGTGTCACACAGTGGCCAAAAATACCAGGGGGCCTCAGGAGGTCCAGCAGTACACTAGACACTAGAAGCCCTCCCACTGTTGCCCACCTCCCCAGCACCAGGAATACAGAGCTTCACTTGCCCTGGACTGAGAGTTCCTATCTGCTAATAGCCACTGATGGACCTCTGCTCCATATGCTTATCTAATTCCCTTTTGAAGCCGTCCATGCTTGTAGCCTCCACCACCTCCTGTGGCAGTGAATTCCATGTGTGAATCACTCTTTGGGTGAAGAAGGACTTCCTTTTATCCGTTCTAACCCGACCACTCAGCAATTTCATGGAGTGCCCACGAATTCTTGTATTGTGAGAAAGGGAGAAAAGTCCTTCTTTCTCGACCTGCTCTTTCCCATGCATAATCTTATAAAAATCGATCATGTCACCCCTGAGCCATCGTTCCTCCAAGCTAAAGAGCCCCAAGCGCTTTAACCTTTCTTCACAGGGAAAGTGTTCCAACCCTTTGATCATCCTAGTTGCCCTTTTCTGCACTTTCCCCAATGCTATAATATCCTTTCTGAGGTGTGGTGACCAGAACTGTGCACAGTACTCCAAATGAGGTCGCACCATCGATTTATACAGGGGCATTCTGATACCGCCTGATTTGTTTTCAAGGTTGGTTTGGCTGATCTAGAGATGGCACAAATCTCTTGGGGGAGACTCGTGGCCATGGCCAACTGGAATTAATGGGACAACTGTGGTCCTGTGCATCCCCTGTCCATTTCCATGGGGCTTGAGCAAGAAAATGTCTTGGTGCATTTGTGTGCAATGCATTAGATCTATCAACCCTGGCTGACCTCCCTTAATGGTGCTCAAAAACTCTTAACTGTCTCACAGTCAGGCTGCCTCAGCATGGAATTCCTTGCTTGCTCCTGTAACCCCAACCTGTCAGGACAGTGCCGGAGCCCCGCCGGATCAGCTGCCTCCCCTCCCTCGCTCCCCACCAGCCGCTCACCGCATCATAGTCGTCTTGCTCCTGCAGCTGCTCGGCAATATACATGACAGCGTCCATGGCTGACTTCAGGTCTGGGGGGAGGGCGAGGCAGTGGCTGGGGCCCTCGATGAATTTCTTCATATCCGTGGAGAACACCTCTGGCTGAAACCTTGGAAGGGAAAGAAAGGCGTGTGTTCGCCAGCGACAGGAGCAGAGTCGGCTATATCTTTTTTGGCAAGTAAGGCTGGCTAAGCTGAAAGGAGGGGGGACCTTTTATGAAAAATGTTGGTTGCCATGAAAAAAAGCATGAACATTTAGGGGGTTCTTCTGAAAGCCGGCTGGTCACCCAGGGTGAGGGGAACACTATGCCTAAAGCAAAATGGCCACCATAGAAGCTTTTCTCCAGTCAAAGGAGCTGCCGTCCAGTGCTCCCTCTAAGCTGAGTCAGTGTGAGCTAGCTCACAATTTTTTAGCCTCCAGCTCACAGATTTTCAAATTAGCTCAGGAAGGAGGGCTCCAGAGCAAACTGAGTTATGCAGCAGCCAAATCGCTCGCTCACAACTTTAATGCCAGCAGCTCACAAAGTGGGATTTTTGCTCACAAGACTCCACAGCTTAGAGGGAGCATTGCTGCCATCTGTGCCTCTTCTGTGGGAGGAAGGCTTCCAGCTTGGCTGAGCAGTGTGGGAGGATACAGGCTGCGGAGAAACACTCTCCACCAATGCTCCCTCTAAGCTGTGGAGTCTTGTGAGCAAAAATTCTACTTTGTGAGCTGCTGGCATTAAAGTTGTGAGCGAGCGATTTGGCTACTGCATAAATTAGTTTGCTCTGGAGCCATCCTTCCTGAGCAAAGACAAAAATGTGTGAGCTGGAGGCTAAAAAACTGTGAGCTAGCTCACACTAACTCAGCTTAGAGGGAACACTGCTCTCCACCCTAGAGATCACGTTTGTAGTCCAATAATTGAGACTGCAGTCTGTCCATATACTGGAGCCCTGCTGCATGTCTGTATCTGGCACAGAGGAAAGGTGTCGGGGGAATGAATAATCAAACCCCAAGCACAGTACACTCCAGCACTTATTTATGCAAATGGCTCTAGCTGGAGTGAGACAAAGGGTCTACCATCTAACACCTCTTCTAGATTGTCACACCTAAAGACAAGAAACAGGGAAAGAGACTGTGGCTCAGAAACATCATGACTGACCCCAGAGAGGGATGGACTACCAAAAGGAGATTATACATTCTCAGGACAACAAGAAAAAACCTGCTTCTGTTTTTATGGGTACAGGCCATGAAGGACTAAACTTTTACCTAGGAAGTCCGTCTTGTCCAGGTAATGCTGCACTTTTAAAGGCTGCAGTTCCAAGAATTAGTAGCTTATCCTAGTTAAATATCATTTAGAATAAATAGAAGGTTTACAGAACTGTGTGATTTCACCTTTTCTTTATATCCATGCTCAGTCTGATGCTTGGACAGGCTACATATATTCTTTTAAACTGTTCATTAAACTTTTAAATATTCTTCAAGGAAGCTAGGAGCAGCATGCCTGGTCCTTCCTTTCCCATTTTATCTTTACAACATAGGCTGAAAGGGAGTGACTGGCCCGAGGTCATCCAGCGAGCTTCCATGGCAGAGCAGGGGTTTCAAACCTGGGTCTGCTGTAGCCTGGAATCCAACACTCTGGTGACTACACATCCCTGGCCCATGGAGCTTTCAATCAGAATTTCAGCCAATGGAGGGAAGGACAAGGAAAGTACAGGTAGGGTAATAAGGGGTGGATTGTTGAAGGGAAGGATATGAACAGCTATCAAGGAAATACTGCAAGATGGGTCACTCCTCCCACCCCATTTCAATTTTTCGCCTAAAAATTGTAAAAGAAGACAAAATACCCTGCACATTTCCACGGCCACAGTGTATAGGGGCCCCCAACCTTTTAGAGCCTGTGGGCAGCTTTGGAATACTGATGGAGTATGGTGGGCAAAGCTACAAGATGGCTGCCACAAAATGGCTGCCTCAGGAGGTGGAGGCAGCCACAAAATGGTTGCCTCAGTTGACCTTCAGTCACACAGTGAAGATCTTTGGACTATGGTGGCAGCTGTTGCCAAAGGAACATTTTAAAAAATCGGCACAGCCAATCAAATCTCCAGCGGCCAATCAGAAGCCTTGCTGGGTAAAAGCCCCACCTGGTCCTGTAGACTTAATAAAGACACTTGGCAGGCATCAGGAAAGGAGCACTCTTGTGGACTCCTGATATATAGTTTTCCAGCAATTTCACCCAGATCCCTCCTCTGGTCAGAAACTTACCTGTTAGGTTTGGGGAAGAGGAAGTCACAGGCAGGTGTGCGGAGGAAATACTCATCCATACGACGGTTGCTTTTCACCGTGGGCTCCTGTTTTGGGGGCAAGGGGACGGGTTTGATAGTGGGTTCCGGCTTTGGACGACGCAGCCCCAAATACCGAGGAAGTTTGTGGATAAAAATCTAGAGACAAGAGACAGAGGAAAGAGAGAGTCTCCACGTACCTTTGGAGGTTGGTTGCATCAGGCAGGTAGGTACGCACCTTGCCTTCGGCCCTCGTTTGGCCCACTTTCAGACAATCCATGAGGCAAGTGAGATTTTGTAGAAGCCACGGAGGTTGGGACAAACATGAGTTTCCAAACTGGCTGGTGCCGGGAAGGGAGGCTTCAGAGGTGTGGCCAGAAGACGCTGGCTTGTTGGAGGCCCCGCCCTGATTCCGCATTGCCCCCATGTCCCTCCCAGTCACCTGTGCTCGACCTGCATATTTTTAAACAAACAAAAGCAGACACACACCCCTTCCAAGACACCACTTCTAAACTTTACATAGAAACCAGTTTCAAATCTATTACGCAGGCTTGAAATGGGTTGACCTGCACCAGGTAGACATGACGCTCCACTGCGGAAACCTGGGAGGGACTAGAGCAGGGTGTCGAACTCATTTGTGATGAGGGCCGGATCTGACATAAACTTGTCGGGCGGGGCCACATGTGTCATAAAATGTAATGCCAGGTAGCGGAGATATAAACTTTATAAAGGACACAAACACAAAGGGTTTTTTTTAACTTAAAATAAAAACATGCTTAAAACATCAGCACTCTTGCAATATTTGTTTATTTAACAGTGTCTGATAACTGACACCTCTTGCTCTGAATTGCTGCATCAAAATGTCTGTGCTGTGGCAATCTTGAATATTTCAGGTGTGTCTCTGTAAACTGCAAACCTACGATGATGATGCAGCAGCAGCAGAACTGGAAGAAGAAGCAGAAGACAGCCAGCTCCACTGCGGGTCTGATAGAAGCCCTCCGGGGGCCTGATCTGGCCCCCGGGCTGCATGTTTGACACCCCTGGACTAGAGATCTCTGCCATGAAACCGCAGGTCTCCAGGTGTCTGTGTGGGACATCCATGACACTTACAGCCCTTTCAAACTGGTTCATGTTTGTTGTGCGTATGTGACCTGGATGGACCTGGCTAGGCCGACCTGATAGGACCTCGGAAGCCAAGCAAGGTCAGCCCTGGTTCGTACTTGGATGGGAGACCTCTAAGGAAGCCCAGGGTTGCTACGCAGACACAGGCAATGGCAAACTACCTTGTCTCCTGCCTGGAAACCCAACAGGGCTACCATGTCGGCTGCAACTTGACGGCACTCTCTTCCACCACCACCACCACCACGTGACCTGGGCCCCACAACAGTGATCCTGAATGACCATGTGGGTAATGAAATAATGTCAAGATGGATCTGGCTCCACGGCAGCCCCCGTTCCTTCTCCCTCTGGAACACAGCTGACCCCCGGTGGTCCCCGGTGCCCCTCTGGAGCAGGGAGCCCTACCTGCCTCACCCAGAAGGGCATCTCGTGCGTGTTGGGAGAGCGGTGGTGCAGGTTCATGTCCACCACGCTGAGGATGACGGAGAAGGTGACCAGGATCATGGTGAACATGAGGTATTTGACGATGATGGGCACCGCCAGGGACGTCTCCGGGACTTTATCGGCCAGCAGGAGAAGAAACACCGTCAGGGTGAGGAGGGCGAAGATGGAGAGGGTCATCTTTTCCCCTAGGGGAGGCGGGAAAGGAGGGAAGGTCACTCGCTGAGGGGAGGAACACGGCCCTGACCAAACACCCCATGGGTGCCTGCCGCTAAGGAAGTTAATTGTGCCGATGGACTGCTGGTTCACGGGTGTCAAAGGGCAGGGAGCCAGGCTGGAGAAAGATCCAGTTGGTCAGCCGTGTTGGTCTGAAGTAGTAGAACAAATTTAGAGTCCGACGGCACCGAGGGGAGGCCCAGCAGGCTGCGTGCACAGTTAACTTTCTCTGCAGTAGGCCTGTTGCCCAGAAATCAGACCCTGTGTGCTTTGCCTGCGAAATCTGTGAGTTGATTTTGAGGAGGAATCGCTCTGCACATGTTCAGAGGCACTCTCCGCGTCACAATTTCGAACACGTCCCAAGATTTCGCAAACAGGCTGGAGCCGCCACAGTCTGGGAGGGAAGAGAAATGGGGTCCCCCCCTTCCAGTGCCCCTGCCACAGCAGTGCAGGTCTGCTTGGGGGGTGAACTGCTCCTAGAGAGGGCGCAGTGGCTGGGTAACACGGTTGCCAACTCCAGGCTGGGAAACTCTAGGAGATTTGGGGGCAGAGCCTGGGGAGAGACCTCAGCACGGAACAATGTCCCGGAGTCCACCCTCCAGTGCAGCCTTTTTCTCCGGGGGATGTAGCCTCCAGTGTTCCCTCTAAGCTGAGTTACTGTGAGCTAGCTCAGAGTTTTTTAGCCTCCGGCTTGCACATTTTTGTCTTAGCTCAGGAAGGATGGGGCTCCAGAGCAAACTCATTTATGCAGTAGCCAAATCGCTCGCTCACGACTTTAATGCCAGGAGCTCGCAGAGTAGAATTTTTGCTCACAAGACTCCACAGCTTAGAGGGAACATTGGGCTGGCCTCTGTAGTCTGGAGGTCGGCTGTAATTCTGGGAGATCTCCAGGCCTCATCCACTGGGAGGCTGGAAAGCCCAGAATGCACCTGTGTGGCATGAATTCTGACAGGGTTCTGTGCAGGCAGCCGTTGCTTGCTGTTGCCCTCAGTCACTTCTTGCCACCCGGGTCTTTTCCTGTCTGCTGTATTTTTTTTTTAAATAGAAACTTTATTAACTTTTAATAACACAGTAATACAGAACATTAAGGAGCTGCAGTGGCTCAAGTGGTTAAGATGCTGAACTGCAGGCTGTGGAAGGTCAGGAGTTCAGGAGTTCAAGACCCGGGTGCCGCAAGACGGGGTGAGCTCCTGTCTCTAGTTCCAGCTCCTGCCAACCTAGCAGTTCGAAAGCAAGAAATTGCAAGTAGATAAATAGGTACCACTTCGGTGGGAAGGGAACAGCGTTCCGTGCACCTTGGTGTTTAGTCATGCCGGCCACATGACCACGGAAACGTCTTCGGACAGCGCTGGCTCTTCGGCTTTGAAACGGAGATGAGCACCGCAACCCTAGAGTCGGATTCGACTGGCTTTCGAGCAAGGGAACCTTTACCTTTACCTTTAATACAGAACATTATACAGAGAAGTAGGGTTGATTACATAAAGGCAGAACACAGGATTGCTGATAGTACTTTTGGATGACAGATGAATTACAAAGTATGGAATTTATCCATTAAGTTATATGATTAAACTATAAGTGATTATTCCTGTCTGCTGTATCACGCATTCTAAAAAAGCGGAACACTGGACCAAAAGAATGGTGACCCTCTCACATGTACCAACCCGTGCTCCCTATAAGCTGCGGAGTCTTATGAGCCAAAATTCTACTTGGTGAGCTACTGGCATTAAAGTTGTGAGCCAACGATTTGCCTACTGCATAAATTAGTTTGCTCTGGAGCCACCCTTCCTGAGCTAAGGCAAAAATGTGTGAGCCGGAGGCTAAAAAACTGTGAGCTAGCTCACACTAACTCAGCTTAGAGGGAGCACTGGCTCCAACTGCTCTCTTGTTGTGGGCATGATCCAGCCAGCACACACATGTGCATCCGTTACATGGGGAGAGAGAACGAGAGAGCGAGACAAACAATGGAAGGGGCTGAAAGGTGGAGCGAGCCGGGTCAACTCCCATTCCAGAGCTAATTTTAGAAATCCTCCTAGCGCAAGTGGAACTCGGGACACAGCCGCAGCACAAGCTTCCTGGGCCAAAAAAAGGAATCCTTCCCCAGGAAATCTGCTCCTCCCGTGATGAGGCTGGGCTGGGTGGCCAAAAGGGCCTGACTCATTCTCTGGTAGTTGCATTGTGACTTCACAGGTACACATTTGCACATCAGGTGGGTTTAACATCACAGTAATCCAAGTCTATGCCCCAAGTACTGACGCAGCAGCAGAAGAAGAAGAAGAGGAGGAGGAGGAGATTGGATTTATACCCCGCCCTTCACTACCCAAAGGTGTCTCAGAGCAGCTTACAGACTCCTTTCCCTTCCCCTCCCCACAACAGACACCCTGCGAGGTCGGTGGGGCTGAGAGAACTCTGACAGAAATGGCTCTTTTTTCAAGAACAGCTCTGACAGAACTACGGCTTGCCCAAGGTCATCCAGCAGCTGCAAGTGGAGGAGTGAGGAATCAAACCCGGTTCTCCCAGATTAGATTCTGTGCACTTAACCACTACGCCTAACTGGAGGTAGAAGAGGCTGAAGTGGACCGGTTCTATGAAGACCCGCAACACCTCATAGAACTAACACCAAAAAAAGAGATGTCCTCATCATCATAGGGGACTGGAATGCTAAAGTAGGAAGTCAAAAGGTAACCGGAATAACAGACAAGTTTGGCCTTGGAGGAGAAAATGAAGCAGGGCAAAGGCTAACAGAGTTTTGTCAAGCAAACTCCGGAGCACGACGGAAGACAGGAGGGCCTGGTGTGAGGTGGTCCATCGTGGGGTCGCGAAGAGTCAGACTCGACTGTGTGACTGCGTCTCTGCCTGAGACCCTGGAGAGCCGCTGCCAGTCTGCGAAACCACACTGACTTTAATGGACCAATGGTCTGACTCAGTATAAGGCGGCTCCAGTATAAGGCAGTTCTGGGTAGGGGCTGTGGCTCACTGATAGACCATCAACATGCAGGAGGTCTCGCGTTCCATCCCCAGCATCTCCAGCTAAAAAGACGAGGCAGGAGGTCCCCCGGACTGCCAGGAGATCAAATCGGTCAATCCTAAAAGCAATCAACCCTGACTGTTCCCTGGAAGGCCAGATAATGAAACTGAAGCTCAAGTACTTTGGCCACCCAGTGAGAAGGGAGGGAGCACTCCCTGGAGAAGAAGGCCCTGATGCTGGGAAAGACTGAAGGTCAAAGATGAAGGATGAGACGGTTAGACAGTGTTATCGAGGCGACAAACATGAAGTTGAGCAAACTCTGGAGCACGAAGGGAGACGGGAGGGCCTGGCGTGATGTGGGGTCGCGAAGAGTCGGACCCGACTGTGTGACGGAACAGCAACGACAACAGGCGGTGATGGGAAAGACGCCTCTCTGCCCCCTGAGACCCTGGAGAGCGGCTGCCAGTCTGAGAAGACCACACTGACCTTAAGGGACAAAGGGCCTGACTCGGCCCATGTTGATGAATGCGGTTGGACCTTTGGTTACCCCTGTCAGCCCCGTCCAGATCAGAGACCCAGCAGGCAAACCGCGTTTCAAGGAGAGCTGTGAAACGGAACGATGTGCCAATCTGCTGGGTGGAGGTAGAGACTATTCTGGGGGGGGGGGGGGCTGGGGGGGCTGTTTCAAGGCACAGCTTGGCGGGCAGATGGGTGCCTCTCCTGTGGGGAACCGAGGGACTTTGGCTGCAGCCATCCTGCCAGCCTGAGATGGGGGGGGGAAGGGTCTCATCGCCTGATGGACATCTGGTCCTGCCGGGAAGGGTTAGTGGAGGAATTTGGAAGAGCTAGGATTGCGTGACGGCGGCACTCTTCCGTTTTGACCTGATTTGGAAACGCCTTCCGTCTCAGAGGAGAGGCCATCCCTGAGAAGCTCGGAGGAGCTGAGAGCAGTGTTCCCTCTAAGCCGAGTGAGTGTGAGCCAGCTCACAGGTTTTTAGCCTCCGGCTCACACGTTTTTGTCTTCGCTCAGGAAGGACGGGGCTCCAGAGCAAAGTAATTTCTGCAGCAGCCCAGTCGCTCGCTCACAACTTCAATGCCAGGAGTTTCCAAAGTGGAATTTTTGCTCACAATAAGACTCCGCAGCTTAGAGGGAACCAGGGGTCATTTCCTGCAGGAGCGCACAGGAGCGGAGCTCCGGCAGTAAAGAGCCCAGGGGGCCGGCACATGCAACAAGCCGCACCCCCTGCTCCCAGCAGCCCTCAGTCAGAGCAAGAAGCAGCCAGGTAAGTTGCAGAGCCCCCCTCCCGGCCCCCCAGTCCAAAACAGTCCAGTGGCACCTTTACGACCAGGTTTTATTCAGGTACAAGCTCTTCCTCCTTTGTGAGGACAGATCTGCACGTCTCCCCCCCCCCAATAGCTAGGAATCCAAAACAGTCCAGTGGAGCCTGAGTGGTGGGTGTTGCCATCTGACACACTTCCGGTGATGTCAGGGGGTGTGGCATATGCAAATAAGTTATGCTAATGAATTATGCTAATGAGCTCCTGCACCTCTTTTTCTACGAAATGACCCCTGGAGGGAACGTTGGCTTCTGAGAGGCTGCCCCGTGGGGGGGGACCCACCCACCTGCGTCCGGAGGGAGGTAGAAGACGAAGATGGCCAGGATGGTGATCAAGACGCAAGGGATGATGACGTTGATGAGGTAGAAGAGGGGCTTGCGGCGGATGATGAGGTGGAAGGTGATGTCCTCGTACAGGGGGTCTCCGGGGAGGGTGTTCTTGCGGGCCGGTTTGTGCCGGATCTCCCACTGCCCGTTGTCTGGAGGAAGAAGAGGGGGCCGGGGAAGCCCTGGAGGTAATCTGGCTCCTTCTGACGCAGAACACACACACTCAAGAGCTCTCCATCTTGGCAGCTGCCATTCGGGGGCCCAGCCTGTGAACGGCCTCGACTGAGGCCCGGAGGGACCACAGCGGCTATCATGCCACAGAGCCCACCCTCCAAAGAGGCCATTTCCTCCAGAGGAACTGATCTTTCTAGTTGGGAGACCAGCTGTGATTCCAGGAGCTCCCCAGGCCCCGACTGGAGGTTGGCAACCAAGGAAGAAGGGAAGGGAAGTGACTCTTGAAAGGGAGAGAGCAAATGGAGAACATCGGACGACATTTCTCCTGCTGTTGTGATTCCTTTGTGTATTTGAGAGGAGGGGAAGAGAAGAGATTGGATCTATACCCCGCCCTTCCCTCAGAGTCTCAGAGCGGCTGACAATCTCCTTTCCCTTCCCCTCCCCACAGCAGACACCCTGCGAGGTAGGCGGGGCTGAGAGAGCGCTTTCGAGGACTGCTCTTGAGAGAACGGCTCTGAGAGAGCTTGTGACTGACCCAAGGTCACCCAGCTGGCTGCATCTGAAGGAGGAGTGGGGATTCAAACCCGGTTCTCCCAGATTAGAGTCTGCGCATTTAACCACAGACTTGGTAGCAACCCCAAAAGAGATATTCTTAATGTACAGGGGATGGCCATGGCACAACCGGCGGCAGATGAGCCCTCTCAGTTACCAGGAAAGATCCCAGAATGCAGCCTGCTGGTGGCCATTAACCGACTGGACAGGCCACGGGGGATTACTTTGCACGGACCCAGCCAGTGATGGTCGGGTAGCGGGTCAAGGACAAGCCGACCCCTGTTGTTGTCCTCGCTGGCCAGTTCTGAGCGGAGCTGGTTGCTCTTGGGCCATCTGAACGGCCTGTCTGCAACAAACATGGTATGCCCAGAGGTGCTCTCTTCTCGATCCTGGAGGCCCTGGCATAGGAGAAAAGCTGGCCCGAGGCCATGGATCCCTGTAGAGCAGAACGAGAGACACCCCTTCCCTACCAGTGATACTGACTCGCAGGGGTCATTCCCTGCAAGAGTGCACAGGAGCGGAGCTCCGGCAGTAAAAAGCCCAGGGGGTGGGCACATGCAACAAGCCCCACCCCCTGCTCCCAGAAGCCCCAGGCCACAAGGAGCAAGAAGCTTCTTTCTTTCTTTCTTTCTTTCTTTCTTTCTTTCTTTCTTTCTTTCTTTCTTTCTTTCTTTCTCTCTCTCTCTCTCTCTCTCTCTCTC